GTGCTGCAGCTCAGGGTTTTTTGGAATGTAAGGGACTTCCCTCAGCCTCAGCAGGCTGCTCATTAACAGATAGATCCACAATGCTTCACCTCCAGCTGTGCTGATTCCTGCCTTGTGCTCAATTCATGGGACATGAGGAAGGGTGGTGGGTAGGAGAGAAAAGAGAAGGGCAGCGACTGTATCATATTTAGACATGGAAGCTAGGCATCAACTAAAGCACAGTAAAATCCCTGGCCTGCTCCAGGGGCATTCACATTGGCAGCTGTAGAATTTCTGTAGTTTAATGTACTGTGACCACATTACTTTGACAGTAGACAATTGAAGCTGTGTGTACTTACATATCTCATTGCAGGGGCTAATGCAGGAGCTGAAAAGCACATTTAGAAAAGACAAAGAGTTCTCTCTGAGGCTGGGACTGATATTGTTGCAAGGAAGATGCTACACCGCAAAATAATGGGTTAAGTGAATGTTTTAAGTAGCAGAGAGTCTCATAGATGACGAAGCTGAGCATCCTTATTGACAGTGCCTATTATTATGTCACTGAATATATGTTCATGCGGGATGTGGAATGATTATGCAGAAGAAAGATTCACGTAGTGAGTGAAGTACCTTCAATAGGAGGACCGTTGCAGAGTGATACCACAGGGTGTTAAGAAATTTGAATTCCACCCTATAAGACTAAATCCTTTGTATCATTGAGTTTTGGGGAGCTTTGGGTGGTTGTCAACGGTAAAACCATGACAGTGGTGCTACAAAATGTTGAGCACTCTGAAGAATAAGCTCTCAGACTGCTTATTCATTCCCAGATACAACTCATATCCTACACCAAACGCAGACTCCATGCCATACCTAGTTTAGTGAGCATGGTCGTGATGGGTTGATGGCTGGACTGGATGATCTTAAAGGTCTTTTCCAACCTATATAATTCTATGATTCTGCCTTTTAGAACAGTCTTCTAGTTTTTGTTATTCACGCACAGTTGTTCAGTACCCATTCCAGTGGCTTAAAATGAAACTTCTTTTTCATTAACAGGACCTTGTTTCTTTGTTTCACATACATTCTGCAGTTAAGTAATTTCTTGCAGTGTTACAACCCTGCAAGAGGTCTCTTGGGACAATGAATGCAAAAAATTCTTCCTGCAACCTTTAAGCATAAGAATTGTCTCAGAGAAGGTTGCTATAGTGGGACAGGTCTAATCAGCATGGTATTTTCATGCTTGCTGGACTAATTTTATGCAAGTACTTCTGTTTAATTGATTGGAAGTATGTGCATATTCAAGTGGACTTGGAAGTAAATCACAAGAAACTCCAGAACAACTCAGCAAAGCAGTGCATTTGCAGACCTGATTTAAGTGCAGAACCATACCGTATATACAAGGGTACCTCAGCAAATGTTAGTGGATATGTCTAAAGCCCTCTCCAGAAAATGTTTGCTTAAGTTAGCAGAAAATTTGCTACAAATAATTATTAAATGTCATCAGAGAAGTTCTAGTTATTTTACTACTAGGCATGTGTTGAGGTTCATTAACACATTGGCTGTGCTTCTCAGATATAAAGTATGACCTGGTGCCGTTCACTGCATTGCAAACAGTGAATGCAAACATAATGATAACATTATGTATAAAGGCAGCCAAAATCAATATCATCTTCATATTCCCTGAAAACTCTCACTATCATTGTATTTAGATTTTGGCAAAGTCAAAGGTAGTAGTCCTCACTGACACAGTAGCTGATCATTCATTAAAAGTTTAGCTTGGGACACTTTCAGATAATTTGTTCGATCAGTTAGAAGTGATGCACTGTTTATTTTGGTTACTCTGTCTGAGAAACACATGTGTCTGAAATAATAATTATTTTGCTCTGCATCAGCATTTGGCTTAAAGAAAAAGATGCCATCTCTTCAGAGCTTGTATTCGTATAACACTATGTCAGATTGAAACTTAACATGTATTTACTGCATGTCAGTGCAGAATAAAAGCAGCATTATCTGGCTCATAGTGTATCACCACAGGAAAGTGTTTTTACCTACAAGAAAAAAATAAGCTCAAAATGTGCACATAAAATACATCAGCAATTAAACTTGCCTTCTGTATAAATAATATTGAATTGTTATGTTCTTGCAGGAATGTGTTTTTAAGTGTAACAGTGCAGCACAGCAATAGTAAATATCAACAAGGAAAAGGCTGCTCCAAAACTAGTGCCACGTGTTTTATTATGTTGGCCCACAGTGTCAGAGGTAGATGTTGGTAGTATGGCAGTAGAGACTGAACTTTCTCACCAATATTCCATTACATTTTGCTGCCATGTGACACATGACGGCGGAGGGGCAGTCTGACAGAATGGCGCCTGACGTGGAAGTGCATATGAAACAAAGGCATGGAATTGAATTCCTCCATGTGGAAAAAAATTGCATTACTCAACAGTTCCTGAACATTTATTGAGACGTAAGAGTGGATGTGAGTACAGGGAGGCAGTATTTGGGGCATTTTGACAGTGGCAGTAGTGGTGTGAAAGACAAGCCATGTTCCACACAGCTCTGCGTAGTTGTCCCACCACAGAATGAAGAGCATCTTGATGAGCTTATCCACAGGAATTAGTGGATTACAACCACAGAAATGTGTATGGAGCGGAGTATGAGCTTCAGTGTGTCAGAAAAGATGGTGGCAATGTTGGAATATTGCTAAGTTTGCACCAAGTCCCACGGATGCTCACATAGGAGCAGAAAGACCACTGTATGCAAATTTGCCAGGACCTATTGAATCAATACAGGGCTAAAGGTGACAGTTTCCTGGATCCCATCATTACTCGTGACAAGATGAGATGTCACCACTATGAGCCAAAGTCAAAACGGCAGTCCATGGAGTGACAACATGTGAATTCTTCATCAGAGACAAAGCTCAAGATGTAGCTCTCGGTGGGCAAAGTGATGTGCACTGTCTTTTGATATAGGAAATAGAGTTGTCCTTCTGGATTTCCTGGTAATCAGACAAACGGTCAACTTTGATCACTGCATCATGTCATTCAGCTGAAAGCTCAAATTACAAGAGTAAGGTCAGAGAAGAAGACCTTTCTTGTGCAACATGGTAACTCCAGGCCCCAAACCAGTTTGTAAACCTCAGAGTACTTTGCTGATCTCGGCTGTGCCGTCTTAATACACCCACAGAATAATCCAGTTGTGGTGCCTTCTGACTTTCATTTGTTTGGGCTGATGAAAGATGGACTGTGTGGGCATCATTATCCTCCCAAAGATGCTATCAGAACAGTGTTAACATAGTGGGTCACCTCCATTAGTGCAGAATTTTGCAAGCATGATACACAAGCTCTTGTTTATCTCTGACAAAATGCATAGCTAATGGTGATTATTGTGTTGATAAATAGTGTTTTGTAGCTGAGCATTTGCTCTATCAAATAGTGTTGATGTGCTCTTTGTATCTGTTGATGTTTCCATGGAAGTAAATAGGAGGCATTACTTTCAGAGCAGTAGGACTGGCTGCTCTTAGTCATCATTGGTATAAATGAGATGACAGATCAAGGTTCTCTTTTCATATCTCAGAGTTCCATCCTTAGATCAGGAACTCAGCATCACTGGGAGCTGGACTGCAAGAAATCCTTATTTCCTGTCTTCTCCAGACTTATTGCATACTTCTAGTCAGATAGCTACTTTCAGAGTCTCAGATACAGCTAGACAGTGAGTGCTGCCTTTATTTTCTTCCTCTTGGCCTCTATTCCAAAGCAGATGAAAACAACATATCATAAATTTTATATACAACACATACATTTATACTGATTTTCTGCTTTTTTTTCCAGCCTGTATTGTAGGTATTGTTACTGTTTATACTGTTGTCATTGCTGTTACTATGGATATCAGAATATGCTATTCTGCCATCAATATTCCTTCTTTTGTCACCTTTCAACTAACCAAAACATAAAACCTAGTGTATGTAGAAGACTTTTAGTAATTGCAGAATAACAAAATGTGTGTCTTCAGCCACATGGGCTATTTGAGTGCATCAGATTTATTTCTCTGCAGTGGCTGCAATGGGTGGTTTTTGCCCTTATTAAAAGCACTCGTGGTATAACTCTGGATATCTTACTAACCACCTCAAGGGTGAGATTGAAGACTGTGAAAACTAAGTCCAGGCTTGAGCTCCCTGCAGTTTTGGTACCCATTCATTCTTATACCTCTTGGACAGTAAATTGGTTGTGAGATAAACCGATGCACATGTGGAAATTAACGTTAAACCTGATGTTTACAGAGAAACCAATATGTTGCCTGCCCAGAGGCTAGAGAAAGTAGGAATCACTGGATTGAAGTGAAGATTTCTGTTATATAAGGCCTAATCTAGCAGTGGAATGGGCTCCCCTGAGTATCCAGGATTTTTGCAAGTTACATTGTGTCCTGCTTTGTGTTCACATTGTTTTGTGTTCTGTAGTATAAATACCCAATGCCACATACATTTAAAAATGAAGAACCCTAACAAAAAAATCCCACAAAATAATACATTGTACATTGGACAGACTACTGGAAAACATTATTCATATTGATTGATGTGCTGTAGGGTACTTGCACTTCAACAAGGAGTGCAACAGAACTTTTGTGTTCACTTAGAAAGATACTGTGAAGCCTTTCTAAACAATGGCAGAATGTCTTTGTGAGGTATTAGTTTTTATTACTGCAGATTATTTGGAAAACGTTGAGAACTATAATAAGAACATATGAATAAGTACAGCTTACTGTAGTCTTCATCAGGTATAAATCAGCTCAGAATCAGCTCAGTTTGATGACAAATCAGCTGATGGCACTACATCCTTGCTGTATGCAGCGATGTAAACTCTTTTATCCTCAAGCATAGATACCACATTTCAAGTGGCATGCTTTGTGCTGCTGTTGGAAATTTGAGGGCAAATAATGCATTTCATTTTACTTTGATTGTGGGTTCCAGCTCTTAAACTCTGTTATGAATCCTGGTTTCATTTAATGTATTCATTTGGTTTCAATAGGGCACTTGCTTGGGCTTTCCCATGACGACTCCAAATTTTGTGAGGAGAACTTTGGCTCCATGGAAGATAAACGCCTCATGTCCTCCATCCTGACTAGCATTGATGCTTCGAAGCCTTGGTCCAAGTGCACATCAGCAACTATAACAGAATTTTTTGATGATGGTCATGGTATGTATTATCACATCTTCCATTGATTACGTGTCATTTTTTTCTGTGATATGTTTTTTAAATATTTTATATAAGCTTTTTCATTCCTTGCTTGTCTTGAGACTATCTTGAAAGTGCTTGCAGAACAAGGCAGAGATCTAAAAGTCAGGCAGAGTCTCATGCCCATATTGTGTGGTTCTAATGCAAAAGAAAATAAAGAGTTGATGGAGTGCATGTTGTTAATAACTTGGTTTGAGACACAGAGAGTTTCAGTTTTTTTAAAGTACAAAATTAGTCTTGTCTTCCCAAATGAGAATACTTTCAAAAGAGGACAAAAGGAAATTTCTTTTCCTCACAGAAATTAGAATGGTTAATATGGTCTAGCATTACGCTGCAGATATGTGCAGAGTGTACGTGCTCTTACCATTAAGAGCATTTATTCTGTTTATAAAGCGATTATATTCATTTTGTTTGTGAAGAGGGGCTGTAAACAAGTATTATGACCCCTCTGTGCTGTCTATAACAGAAGACTGCTTTTGCTCCAGGAGCTTACCCTCCAAGTCATATAACTAATATTTATTAAATATATCATTTGACCTTTGGAGAATAAGTACAAAACTTTCATTTTTTCCAACAAGTAGTAATATAAAGTATAGTCTGAACTCTTAAATGAATGTTAAAGTTTTCGTTGTGCTTCCAAAGCAACTGCAGTTCTTAAGCCATTCAAATTCCAAAATGCTGAGATAAAAATGACATAATTGAGTGAATGGATCAAGTTGTTATGGTAACTGAAATACGTATGGATAAAAAGTATGACATGTCTGCTGAATGTAAAGTTTTTTGCTTTTAAGTATTTTGCTGGCTAATTTCAGTGCTCTCTGAAATATTTTCTCCTGTTTTTTCCTATCTGGAGAATGACTTCATTTTTTTTGTCTCAATTTTATTAGATTCATTCAGCTATACTGTCCTATTTTAATGCCCATAATGCTCTGGCATTGACTTAATACTACCAAGTGAGTTTCGACATACGAAGAGACCTTTCCTTTTTGAGTTTAGTTGCATTCACTCCCTTTTGTCTCACCTGGGAGTTTCACAGTATGTATTCACTGACCCTGTAGAGAGTATAATCTATCCCACGAGTGTAAGAAAGTCATTCTGTCATTTTTTTCAGTAGAAGAGGGTAGGAGTTTCAAATCCTTCAGAGCTGCATTGTGGTCTCCTTGTTCAGCCTGTGTTGACTTCCTGTACAACTTTAGCAGTTCTCTATTTCTGATACTTTTCACAAAGTCATGTATTCTTTCCTGCACAAGAGGTGCTTAGAATCTGTCCGCTTACTAACAAATGGGTTAGGATATATTGCCATTTCTGATACTCATGAGTAGTTACCACACAGGCATGTAGTCCCAAAGACTTACTAATGGAATGAAATAATTCATGAAAAATGTGAGCCTCTGGTCTTGTCTGCATATTAGTTTTAGTAGTGATGTTATTGGTATGCTTTCAAAAGCATAGGGTTTAGGAAATGTGTTTTCTTGATAGATTAGCTCCTCATAGACCTTGTCTAAATTAGTGATCCTTTTCTGTTGAAGTTTATCAATTTTTAGATGTTAAGTAAAAGATTTGTCCTGACTGAACACAAACACTATCTATGAAATAAGGACTAAGGCCAATGACTTAAACGGCAGTTTGTTCAAATTATCCTGCTGAGAGTACGTGTTTTATTTTAGGCATGGAACTCCTTCTGGTTTTATTTTCTAGCCAGGGAACAAATCCATAGCTGTAATTCCCATTTGTAATGTACACCGAGTGTACCCAAGCCCAGAGAACCCTGGTAGAGCATGACGACACTTTTCAGGCTGCTTTGGACTGATAATAAGACAGTGCAAATGTGCCATATTTCCATGTTTCTTTCAGAATGAGCATGTGTCTGCTTTTTGAGTTGGTTTTTTTTTTTTTTCTCCTTAGCCGTGGATGATGTATTGCCATGTAGTTACACTACTTTCCCTCTCTTTTTCATTTTGAGAAGATGCTTTCCTGCCATCTTCCCATTGAAAGAGGAAACTCCTCTACCTTTCAAGTGTTGCTAGCAGAGAAAATTAAGTTTAACCATTCAGGTGTAATTCTGAGCGTTGCCACAGACATAATGTAGGCAAAGAAGGCACAAAATAGCAGATACAACAGAAGAATGAGAGTATACAGACCTTCTTATACCAGGCTTTCTTTTAAGGTGTTTTGACTGGATTTTGTGTAGTCACAGGAAGCTCTATCTTTCATACAAAGCATAAGCAGTCTGCATTTGGTGTGAATGGGCATGAGCTTATGAACTGTGCTTTGTGACAAACCAGGCATGTCAGTATTTGTGTGACGAAGCAGATAAATGAAGTACTTCATATGCTGCTCCTTATGGCTAAGCATAATGAAATGTGAATATCCAGAAACCTGGATCTGTGAGCACTATTCTGTAATAGAACAGTATTTTTTCAAACCTTTATGTTTCCCCTATAGATACAGATATTCACCTGTAGTGCTTCAATGGCAAGAATCACAGGGTCACAGAATGGCTTAGATTGGAAGACACCTTAAAGATCATCTATTTCTAACTCCCCTATTGCAGGCAGGTTTGCTACCCACTGGAAGTTGCTCCGTGTCTAATCCAACATGGCCTTAAAAGGCTCCATAACCTTAACTTTAATTTTGTAGCTGCCTTTTGTTAGGTGCTGAGGTTCCTATTTAATACATTTGGAAAGCGATGTTGGGATATGGACTCATCACATAAAAAGTGCACTATGTAGATAACTATGTATTTTACTATGCAGGTAACTGTGCTTAACGTGGGTGCTTAATTCCCACCACAGCATGGAGGGATCTGGTTAATGGTATCAGTGATTTGATTAATGCCAGCAGTTGTATTAGTGGTACTGAATTACACCACAAGCTCATGTGTTTGTACTAGGCAGTGAAATATCTGACTGCTGACTCAATTGTAGACACCAGCATTACATCTACTTATGGTCAGCTAAATAAATTTCAATAGAAATGCCTCATCCAAGGTCAACCAGGAGGTCTGGGAATGATCAAGGTGCTGATTCCCAGTCTCCAGAGGCCCACTCTGAGAATTGTAATCATCACTGTCATCATATCACCATTTATTTTACACTTATAAGATGACCCCAGACAGCAATTTCACATTTAGGAAGAAAATACTCAATTAGTGTCCAGAAGACAGTGACATTTATTATCATCTGCTTTTAGCCAACCCTTTGTAAGATACTAATTGCCTTTATTGTCATGCCAACCACTAGGCTGTGGTATGATTGCCTACAGTTTATTGTGTTTAGTCTGACTATTTGGTGCTCTTTGTAACCTGAAAAAAGGACTATTTCTGTTTTAATTAATTTATATCCTGGTTATCTGCTTCCTGCACAGATTTTATTCTGCCTTCCAAGGCTGTATTGTACATATATAACACTGAGGAGAGAGAATGAGAACGAAATGGCTTGATTAACTTTGTCATCAGTCAAGAATGTTGCATTAGGCCAGGGCACCCAGATGTTTTTTGGTACTCAGGACAAAAAGTGGGAATAGTAGTACATATGTGTTCTATATGCTGTAATGTAGTGAATTGCTGTTCTTTGCTTTTACATAATATATTTTTGACAGCAAGTACTGCCAGTGGTTTAGTTTTCAGAAACTTCAGAAAAGAAAAAACACATCTGTGCTTCCTCACTCTTCACCATGTCTTGAATATTTTACACTCTAAACGGATTTGAATGCTCCATTAATACCATTAATTTTCTATTTCATGGTACCCAGATCATCAATTAGCATTTGCACACCTTGTCTTTATTAAAAATGTCAGCATAATCCAGATCAAAAATAAGGCTAAGGTAAATCATGGTAAGCATAGGACAGATAGAACAAGTTTAACAGCGTTATAGTTTTTTGGTAGTAAGTGATGATGCAGAATGAAATTTTGGTTGATTTGAAGAGTTGGTCTTAGTCTTAAGAGTAAAAAAGGAAAAATTGCAATTTTAGAGGGAAAACACAAGCTATAGACTCATGGGGTATTTGGTGTGATTTTAATTCATTTAGTTTAAACAGTGGAATTCTTAAAGACCATTTTTTCACCCATGATCCATCTGAAGAATTCCGGTATAGGTTGCAAAGTATGTAAATTGTGGTAAGTTATTTTGGCCAAGAATAAGTGCAGTTTGCCAAGACCACATACCCCTTTCATGGGGTGTAAAATAGCTTACGCTCAATAAATAGTTCTGTATGTCAACAACCAAATTTTTCAATAGTAAACAAAATCTGTTAGTAGATCCTCTAGAAGCAAAGTGGGAATTCTCATTTTTAGAGTGCGCCAGACAAATTCTAACTTCTGCAATATATATCAGCATACATATTCAATTCTGTAATTTATATTTATTCTGTTTTTTTTTCTTGTCTTTCTGGGGTGGTTTTCTTGTGCATTTTTGTATAAAATGTATAGCCCTCTACGAACTAATTCTAGAAGCAGCCAAGTATCATTCTTTACAAGGGAAGCCCAGTCTAGATTTACCGCCAACATTAGATTTGATATTCTATTTATATTTTTCCTTTGATCTGTTTGCTTCTGTTTGTGTGTGTGGTTTTGTAGGGGGATGCATTTATTTATTTATTTGTTTTTAAGTGCCTCGCGGTCTGCATTTTGTAATTTGAATTTCAGACTTTGCTTTAGTAGCATTACCATGTGTGATGTTCTGGCTCAAAATTCAAATGAGCGCTTTGCTTGCTCTGCCAGGACTCTTCTTGATCATTTTGTAAAGCACAAATTGATGGAGTGGAAACCAAATAAAGGAAGACAGAATGGAAGACCAAAGGGACCTGAATAAAACTTATTTACACTTATTTTCTTGAATTGGAAATAGCTTGACACCTGGTATGCTGCAGGGAGAGACCACAGTTGCAGTACGATAAGCTCATACAAAGCCTAATGACACCTCAGAGAGCACTTCCAATGACATCAATGTCCTTCAAATGAGGTCTGCTGTCGTTATCGGTCTCCCTAATTTGAACGACAGATACAACACTGCAGAAAAAGTAGGTAATAAGTAACAATAGCTTGGATTATTCTTTTAGGTAACTGTTTGCTGGACCAACCAAGAAAGCAGATCCTGGGCCCCGAGGAGCTTCCAGGACAAACCTATGATGCCATTCGTCAGTGCAAATTAGCATTTGGACCTGAATATACAGTGTGTCCTGGGATGGATGTGTGCTCTCGCTTGTGGTGTGCAGTTGTTCGTCAAGGTCAAATGGTGTGTCTGACTAAGAAGCTGCCTGCTGTGGAAGGAACACCATGTGGAAAAGGGAGGATCTGTCTCCAGGGAAAATGTGTTGACAAAACCAAGAAGAAATACTACTCGGTAAGCTACCAGCTGTGACTCTAGGGAACCTTAGAAGACGTAATGCTCAAAGTAGGAGTGAAAGGCACTTTATTATGAAAGTCAGATTGAAAGCTGCCTTATTTTTTAGCATGTAATTGGAGTGTTACTGGTGAAGGATACAGGAAAAATGCTACTGAGTTTCAGGAAGCATGTTTTCTTCTTGAAGTTTGGAAGCCTACAGTCCTGGAAAACTGGGAGCATCACTTCTAACTAGAAGACACCCATTCAATAAGGCAGGTCTCAGGATGCATGGACAGACTGGCAAGGAATGATTCACAGCTTCCTGATTTCTTGGCAATGGACTCTGAGGCAAATTAGATATGAAAACTTAGTTTACAACCCTCATCTAAAAGTCTCCAGAGAGCTAACTCTAGGGAAGAGAAAAATTGATGGATTTCATCTAGGATATAATTTCCAGAGCAGCCAAGTTTGTACCTATATGAAGGAGTTCCGTCTGTTGGTTTAATACCCCTGAAGAGGCTCATGAGAGTCAAAAGGGTTATAATTGTCCGCTGTGCAGTTCAGATACTTTGAAATTAACTGGGAATACAAAGCACTGCTCCTTCTGTTATACCTACAGGAGAGATACAGAACTGTAGAGCTTTGTGAAGATATTTACAAAATACAAGAGTCATTCAAATAAAGCAGCAGCCTTTGTAACACTCTTCTTTATAGACTGGTATATTTCTTCGTGCAGTATCAATTAATTGTTGGAATATGCTACAGAGTCAAACTGGCAGAATTGTAATATATATCCGAATGCTCACTCTCTTGCCAGTATTCTTGAAATGTTAAGCTGCTGGTTCAGTGCTTCTTCACTTTCACTGCCCAAATTTTTGATTTATGTGTTCATTTCCTGCCTTTAAAACACTCTGAAATACAGTCTGATTTATTCACAAAGTGAAAAGAAGAAGCAATTGCCTAATTTTAGATTTAGAATACTGTTCATGTAATTTGAGTGTATGGTGAAACTATGAATATTTTGTCATATCTGTAGTATATGTATGAAGTAGATAATTGGAAACAAAACTCATCAATGTAAGGGATCGTTTTAGCTCATCCTTTAGAAGTCAGCATTCAAATATCGCTAAGAATGCTTGCTTACATAAGCTAGATCTCATAATACAGAGCAATACCTACTTAGAATAATAATTGTGTTTATTATTCACAGACAGCCTTATAATCTTCTGGAGATGGTTTATGGGGCCTGTTGGTGGCAAATCAGTGCCAAATCAGATGCCATAATTCTGCAGATAAAATAAACTAATTTCAATGGTAGAAAGAAGGCTCCTAACACCATTTTATCCCTGACAAAATGAGCAAGGGAACACCTTCAGTTGGGGGAAAACATTAACAATGTCTTTGAGATTTAGCACCTATTCACACTTGGATGTTGATGTCCTTACTTCCCACTTTTCATATGTTTCAGGCATCAAGCCATGGTAACTGGGGGTCGTGGGGACCCTGGGGACAGTGCTCCCGTACGTGTGGTGGAGGCGTTCAGTTTGCTTATCGTCACTGCAATAACCCAGCTCCTAGAAACAACGGCCGGTACTGCACTGGCAAGAGGGCCATCTATCGATCGTGTAATGTCACACCTTGCCCAGCAAATGGTATGTTAGCTGCTCCAGCCTCTGTGTCCTTAGGTAGTAAATGTTGAACATCTACTGCGAAAGGAAACATCCAAGATCTGTTGTAGTTTCTCTAAAGTGTGCTTACCAAGGAAGATTTCATCACTATTAAAATATGGCAATTCTTCCCTTATCCCCACTCTGACCTCATAAATAAAAGGAATCAAATGTAAAGCAATTTCAGTCCTAGAAGATGAATCATAATGCTAACTTCAGTCCTTCATAGCTTATTGTGTCATGGGAAGGTTTCCAAGCTCTAAAAAAATTACAGGATTTGAAGGCCTATTCTAAGTAAAGAGGTGAAGTATCATAACTTAAAAAGTTATGTTAAAAAGAAATTGGAATAATAGGGGTGCATAATAATATGTGCAGCATAGTCTGAAATAGTCACTAATAATGTGAATCATTCTACAGCTAAATCTTTTCGACAAGAGCAGTGTGAAGCAAGGAATGGTTATCAGTCTGATGCAAAGGGTGTCAAAACTTTTGTGGAATGGGTCCCCAAGTATGCTGGAGTGCTTCCTGGAGATGTTTGCAAGCTCACCTGCCGAGCCAAAGGAACGGGCTATTATGTGGTATTTTCTCAAAAGGTAATGATATCTCCAATCGTAATTTCGTGTTCCAGTTAAGTGTCCTCTATCTTAAAAAACAGTTCCCTACACCAAGGAAGAATGCATTAATCATATGATTTAAAAATTTAGCTGTGTGATTAAATGTAATGGTGACATTCAGTGGTTATAAATTAGGACCAGAAGTGACCTCTAAAATTAGACAAGTTTTTCCATACCTCAGATTATGAGTCCATAAAAATACAGGCCTGTGAGGGCACTCTGCAGTAGTTTCTTTTCAGTCATGGCTAAAGGACTTATACCTGAAGACTCATTTGTGAGTCTGAGGTCTTCTGGATGAGAGAGAGCACCACAACTGAAGTATAAATTTTGTCCTGAATGATATTAAAAATGTCTGGAGTAACTCATACAAAATCAGTTACTAAGAACTAATTTGCCAATTCGTATAGATGTGACTTGTGGTCAGTCTGTCATATCAGATACAATTTGAACTGAAATATCTTCCATGCCTACGCTTGCAGTTTTCTGCCTCTTAAGTGGTATACACGCATTAATGAAGTGAACTGAAATTCTCAAGTTCCCTGGAGCATCTCTCCTAAGAAGAAAGGCTGAGTGTTCAGCCTTGTCTGTTCAGCCTTGAGAAAAGACGACTGAGAGGGGACCTGATCCAGGTCTATAAATATCTAAGGTGTGGGGGGCAGAGTGGCGAGGCCAAATGCTTTTCAGTGGTGAGTGGAGACAGGACAAGGGGAAACGGACATAAGCTGCAGCATAGGAAGTTCTGCACAAATGTGCACAAGAACTTCTTTACAATGAGGTGAAGGAGCACTGGAACAGGCTGCCCAGGGAGGTGGTGGAGTCTCCTTCTCTGGAGATGTTCAAGACCTGCCTGGATGCCTACCTGTGCGACCTGCTGTAGGGAGCCTGCTTTGGCAGGGGGGTTGGACTCGATGATCTCTGGAGGTCCCTCCCAACCCCTACGATTCTGTGATTCTGTGATTCTGTGAAGTACTCTTATTATTAGGAAGATATGACTTGGTCATTAAAGTCTGGGTCATTTTATTGCTTTGCTTCACACTGCTTTCAGACCTTTGCTAAATTTCATCTGCTGTGGCACTGAGAACGTTAGAGAAACTCAGTCTGGGTTGTCAGGGTAGTAAATCTGTTCTGTGGTGACAAAAATAAGGTTTTTTGCCAGTCAGATACACAGAAGCACTTTTTTTTTTTTTTTTTTTTTTTTTTTTCCAGTGGTAATTTTAACTAACAGGCATTTGATTACCTAGGTAACTGATGGTACTGAATGTCGGCCGTACAGTAATTCAGTCTGTGTCCGGGGAAAATGCATCCGAACTGGTTGTGATGGCATCATTGGTTCAAAGCTCCAGTATGATAAATGCGGGGTATGTGGAGGAGATAATTCAAGCTGCACAAAAGTCATGGGAACCTTCACCAAAAAGAGGTATTAATCTTGAGTATTAGTAAATGTATCTTATTGTGCGAATAGTAGCTCTACTTGTGTGCCTCATTCTTCCCTCCTCTAAATGCAATCTACTGTCATATGAAGATTAAGCAAAAGTGTACATTGCCAGTGCTTTATTGCACTGTTCAGATGTTTACAGCTGGCCTCTTAACAATATCCTGAAACTGGCAAATAATCACCTGACAAAACACTGCACCCAGTTCATTTCTGACATAAAGTACTAGTGATACAGGTGAGCAACCAGTCATAGGAAGTCTGCCTAGAGTAAAGCACACAGTCTGCTGTTTGCCAGTCTTGCTATGCCAGATGGCATATGGTTTTTAGAGGATAGGGAGAAGGGAAGACAGTGATTAATCGGAAAGCTATTGGTGTCAGAGGTATATCTAGATGTATCCAAAACTCAAGGTTTCCCAGGTGATGCTATGTTGGCAAGGCACACTGGGAGTGTGTTTAATATCATCTAGTAGATATCATCATTTAGTAACATAGATTCCTTGCATAGTTGGTGAAGAGAAGTAGGCAGCATTAGAGCACAGCTGTAAAAGTAATCCTCAGTAGCTGAAAGTGATTATACCCTAAAATCTCTTTCCACACTGCTGAGTATACAAGGAGCTTAGGTGACTAGGCAAGATGTCAGATGTACACACAGGCTTATATGTGACATTTTCTATATCCCTTACTGTTCACTGGGATAATATTGATCTCCAGGTGGACAAATATTTTTTTTTAAATTAAAATATTTACAGCAGTCATCCATAAGCCATTTTTCTGTCAGAGTTCAGCTTTTAAGTATGATACAACTTAATATAAGTAAAACAAAAGCAACTTCCCCATGGTTTTTCCTTACTCTACAAAGCAGAAGCAAGCTTTGTACCAAGATTACTGATGTCAAGTAAGTCTGCCTCTGTCTGTATTCTTGTTTCCCTTAAGATTTGTGTAAGAATTAGGATTTTTTAACCACTGTTTATATAGATTGCAAGGTCTCACTGGACTGCTGTAGTGACCTATTCTTAGGAACTTTCAGTTGAACATTTATACACAGCACACAACATCTTTTAAAATGTACATAGAATTTATGTCTTACAAATTCTTGCATATACATGAAACACCATTAGAATTTGAAATTTGACTCCTGAAAGGACCTTTCATTTATATACATTTTGACACACTGATTAATAGTAGTCAAAAATTTCCTCAAAAGTGAGTTTGTTATAAAAATAACCATAACATCTTCTTCCTGGTAAACCAATGATTACTCACCTAAGGACGGCCGAAATACCTCATCCAAAAAGAACGACTTTCTATCCAATTTGGTACTTACATAAACCAAATCTTTTCTAATTTGTAAATATTGAATGAGTATTGAACATTAAATATTGAATGAAAATTCTGAAATGCCTGAACAAAGAAGACTGTGTGACATACACTTCATGTGCTTCAGTAGTAACCCTTATTTTTCAGTCCTGTTTCCAGCAAAAATGCAAGAGAGCCTCATGAATTTTAACTAGGCCAAATTTGTAGTGTAGATAAAATTGGGAACAGTGGGATTCCACTGCAATTATTCCTATAAAGGTACCATCTTACTCCTCAAATCATGGCTTTAACTGAAATGAGACCAGTTGGAGAGTAAAATACTAATTTGACTTTGCTGCATTCAAATAGTTGTCTCACTTAGTAATAATCAAGCTCTAAGTAACGTGTGTTTTAACTTGATTTTTATTTTCATTTATTTTTTTATGGGGAAATTGTTTGATATAATTCCTTTATGCGGGATTTTAAAAAGAAACCCTACATTAAAATAGTAAAATCTTAATTGTCTTTTTTCTCTTAAAATGATCAAAAAAACAATCTCCTGAAAAACTCTTTCCTAAGGACTTTTTTAAATGGCCATAAAGTTAATTAGTCAGAAGTTGGGAAATAGGGGAATTAAGGCTGCACATGCTTCTTTTTGCCCATGGAATGTTGCTGAGAATATTGCATTCTCTAGCATTTTTTTTTTTTTTTTTTTTTAAACAGATGATTTTGTAACTTTAATAACGTGTTTTAACAGAGCTATTTTGGCAACTTTTAAGTAAAAGTATTTCTGCAGTGCTGTGGAGCAGAGGCACCCAGCTTGTTATTTGCACAATATCCCTTCAGGTTTAGAGAGGTGATAAATTAAAGGAGTTTTAGTAGATGTCCTGTAACTGCTTGAAATAGCATGGGAATAGAACAAGCATTTCATCTTTAGTCTCTGCAGTCCCTAATTGGGCAATCAAAATTTGTGAAAGTGGTAGTCCATTTTTTAAACAATTCCAGGAGACTGTCGCTGTCCTGCATTGGATGTCTATTTTCTCGTTTCCTTTCCCCAATCCGTTTCAGCACTAGGCACTTAAGATACAAGGTACTTGCAGAATGGTTTTGTCACAGGTTTAGAAATGAAAATAAATGTTTCCAAAATCCAGTTTGTAACCTATAGCTATGTATAGCGTTCAGCCTTCTTCACTGTGTATCGCTGTGGTTAAAACAAATTACACACTTGAGATAGTAAAAGGTTTGGTACACTTGCAGGTTTTGAGTGCCTGTCACTTTCAATAGAAAAGTGAAATATCTCTTCCTAAGTTTGCATTAACGCATTTCATAAGTACCTACTAAGAGAACTTTATGCTGCAAATTAAGCGTTTGAGTGCACCTTCTATTAGACACTGAACAATTCATCTTTGGAATTATGAATTTCAAAGTAAACAATTTTTTTCTCAGTGATCAAGATTATTTTTAAATGTTCCCAAGGTACTTCTATCCAGCTGTTACTCTGCTCGTGCTTTCCTTAATCATTATGGCAAAGACAGCAAGAAACAGCTGTAACCAGTGCATATCTCATTATCTTTTCTTGGCACGGAAAATGTGCATCGTATTTCATATCTCCCACCCTTTGCTGAAATATATAAACTATCTGTTATTTTTCATTCCTCTTGTATCTGACTCATGTGAAATCATTCCTGAAGCTGAAGATTAAGCAGTTTGAATTAAGTGCAGTAGAAATTTCTTCAAGAACACAGTGTTACAAAAGACAAATAATGGAACCTGATTAAATTAATCTCAAATGTGCCTCAAGGCAGATGGATTCAGGGCCTGAACAAAAATGAAGCAAGTTGTGTCTTACCGGTGATTTCATTAGGCTTTGCAGTAAGACTTGAGTTTTATTTCACAGCAGCTACTGACTACTTTTTTTCCCCTCTGTAGTAAGGGCTACACAGATATTGTGAAAATCCCAGAAGGAGCAACTCACATCAAAGTTCGTCAATTCAAGACTAAAGACCAGAGCAGGTTTACTGCCTACCTGGCCCTGAAAAAGAAAAACGGTGAGTACCTTGTAAATGGAAAATATATGATCTCCACTTCAGAAACAATCATCGATATCAACGGAACTGTCATGAACTATAGTGGCTGGAGTCACAAAGATGATTTCTTGCATGCAATGGGACACTCTGCCACAAAGGAGGTTCTTATAGTGCAGATACTTGCAACTGACCCAACTCAACCAGTGGACGTCCGTTACAGTTTCTTTGTGCCAAAGAAGCAAGGGCAAATGACTAACTCTGTCACTGGCAGTGGCAGCAGCAGCAAAGTAGCTCCACAGCTCACACAACCCCGGTGGGTGACAGGGCCGTGGCTTTCTTGTTCTCGAACATGTGACACGGGATGGCACACCAGAACTGTCCAGTGCAAAGACGGGCATGGAAAACTGGCTAAAGGATGTCTTCTCTCTCAGAGACCGTCAGCATTTAAACAGTGCTTGTTGAAAAAGTGTTAACCTGTGGTTGTGATCTTCTTTAAAAGAGGTTTGATGAAGCCATTGTTGACATACTGGTATTAGGTCTGCCCAGACAGAGAGAAGCAAAGGCTTCAGTGAATTTACATAAAGTCTCAAATTATGGGCAGAATCTGCCTATTTGGACCAAATGAAGATGTGCACTGCTTTGAAAAATAGTAGGGTGATCTTGATCTGTTTGAAAAAAAAGGAAAAAAAAGCATTAAAGTTGCTATAAGCCCTCTGTGTCTGCAAAAATATAAAATAAAATAATGAAAAAGAAGAAAAACTAGCAAATGGAGGATCCTGGGATATTTGAAGGTTACAGAATCATCTCCCCTTTTTCACCTACCTCTAATACAGTATGTCCTTAGAAAATGTCACCTGTACCCATGATACCACGGAAGCTTATTTTATGCTATTTTGTAAATACATTTGATTTGGTTTGTCACTTTATATCACTTGGTTCTACTAAAAAAAAATCAAAAGACAAGCTATGTAAGCAAAGTGATTGACCAAAGTATATCTGCAGCCCTCGTGGACTTTGGTCCAGCCTTCAGAAACGGCTGCAGATTTTTTACTGGAAAATGAAGAGCTTGCTGCTGGTTTTAAAAAGTAATTTGATTTTGACAAAGGGAAATGCATGTTTGTTCTAGGGATTTCCTGATAGCAGATCATAATTCTATGACAAATTCTGTGTTTCCACCAAGAAATTCTCAGAGGAGCTCTGCAAGAGTGCAGACCAAGGATCCCCACAGGTGCATTGCTCATATACCAGCACCATCAGCAGCTCCTTACCATGAGTATGTCAGACACACATAGGAGTAATATTTGTCTGCCTGAAAGAATCTGTGTACCTGTTTCTTGGTAAACCCTCCACTAGTTCCAACTTTGTCACAGCGCGGGATCCCTGTTGTTGCTGAACAATAGCTGCTAGCTCCTTCTTTCCAAAAAATAAAGGCATACTGTATTTTGTAGAACTAGTTAGAGAACCAAAAATTACAGGTATGATAAACAAGTGTCTTCTAACTCAGATATTCTGAGGCTATGTTCAACTGCTTTCTCTGTTATTTTCTCTATGGCTTCCACCTTGAATCTAACAATGTGTAATGTACCTACATCTTTTGAAGAGGCTATAAAGGTCAAAAAAACACAGCAAGCAGTTAATATTTTATCACTTTTTTGTCCATCATGTCTAACTCTGGTATTCATCTTACCAGCAGAAGTTTGTAACTGTTTGTCTTTTTGTTTGGTTTTTTGTTTGTTTGATTTTCATGTTTTGTACATCTACCACATTTGGGAGGGAGAGGTGTCAGTAGGAAGTCAAACCACATCAGGATGTGGAGGACTTGCCCAACATCAATAAAACTATTTCCACAGTACAGGCAGAAGTTAGTATTAATTTCCCTTGAGAGCAGCTTCTGAATCCCATTACTATCCGGTGGAAGTTAGTGACTGAGGAAGGACATTTCACCATATGCAGGTAACATGTGGGGAGTCCACACCAACACTTGTTAGAATTGCTTCCTTTCATATCAACAGGCTTTGAATTAAACCCTAGGATGACAGGTACAAGGTGGTAGAACTCCATCCATCTTTTATTTCTCAGCTTGTCAACACAGGAGAGTATGAGTGCAGGAAGATTTTCAGACACAGCTGTGAGTCACTGGTACTTAGCACTATACTTCCCCAGGCTTCAGGCTCTTCAGAAAATCCCGGTCATGAAATCAGAAAAGAAATCTTGTTTGTGTTGCAAGAAGGGCAGGTCTCACTCCAGGCTGACATAAACATGTTTTTGCAACTCTGGCATGTTTATTTGAATTCTAGAAAGCATGTGATGATTTTAAAACAGCACAGAGTTGCTACATCAACGAGTTGAAACCTGGAGAAATATCTGTTTTTGTACTCTATTCTAAGTAAACACTAAAAGGGACAGGGTCTCCTCTTTAAAAGTGAACTGCAAAGGAATGTTATTAGTCATCTTCAGCTTTCGAGAATGTGTGACCTCCTAATAAAAATGAAAAACATGGATCTTAAGGAAAGTTGGCTACTCAACAACTCATGCCAACCTAAGAACTTAAATCAAGGCTCTGAATATTTGCAGAGTTCTGGAAATTGCTTATGTCTTTTCTACCTTATAAAATCATGTTGGAAGTGTCTTATTTTCCTTTCAAGTAAACTGATTTTTATATTTATATATGTATAAACACATGTTCTAGGGCTCTTAAGGAAGGTCATAACAAGTAGAAACCATCGTAAGTGGAAAGATAAGGAGCATAGATTTGATGTTTGTCCAGGCCTGCAGCTGCTGAATTAATTGGCATTTATTTTTCCTGTGTTGTATCAGAATAGAGACAGAATGTGCAAGTATTTGTGTTTGCGTTATAGAAATAATTTATTATGTACTCAACAAAATGAGTAAGGCTTTTGGATGTTATTCAGACTCCAGGAGAGTAATACCATAAACGGGTATAAATTTTAAATCTTCTTTAGATCAAGAATTTTTCATAGAAAGAATCTATTTATAAAAAGTAAATAAATGCAAGAGCAAACCACTATACTGATTTTTTCCATTTTCACCAGTGTAGTAGTGAAGGAAATGGGCAAAAAGAAGTTGCTTTTATATAAAATCATAGAATCAGAATTGTTTGAGTTGAGAGGGACCTTTAAGAGTCATCTGGTCCAACTCCCCTGAAATGAGCAGGAACATCTACAGCTAGATCAGGTTGCTCAGAGCCCCATCCAGCCTAATGGAAAGGAGCAGACTAAGGAAGCTATCCTAAAAGTGTAAGGTGAACTAGGGCAGCCTGCTATACCCAACATTTGCTTTTTAGCTGATCTTTGTTACCAAACTGCAATCCCCAGCTTTGCTTTTTTAATTTATACCTACTTCATGTAACTGATGAATGAAAAATTGGTGCAAGGTATGTGAATTTGCCATTACAACTAGTGCTTCTAACTAAATTCCTCGTTGGTCATACTGTTACATCACTGTTTACGTTACTACTGAGTCTTGCCAAACAAGATTCATCAAATGCTTGCAATGGATAGAGGCACTGTCTCAGAAGCCCAGAATACAGAAATAAGCAAGCTTCATTGTTAAATTCACTGTAGACTTTTTGGGACACATCTCCAGTGCCTTAGATTGGACCCCCTTTTGAATCTGTGGCTTTTTACCTGCTTTTCGAATGAGACAGTGTACTTAGAAAAAAGCCTTTCATTTGCAGTTTGATTGTATGCATGAAGTTCAGTTTGTCTGCCCTCCTGTGGAAACAGTTTTATCACAAGGGGAGAGGGAATAATCTTGTGGATTAATAACAATTGTATTAAAAAAAAAAAAAAAAAAAAAAAAAAAGCTCAGCACTGAAAAAAAAATAAAATAATTTATTTGTTTTTACAACTAGTATGTGAATGGATGTAATGAATTTATTTATTCTTATTTAACAAAAATATCAATTGTGCAAATTCTTTATTTAAAATGTTTGCTATCATCTCTGTCTCTCTTTCTTGCTCTCTTAATTTATGCTTCAAATTTGTGTTGAGTTTACATAATGTATGGCACTGGTTATTTTTTGTTTGTTTTTATTTAGAAAGCTTTCTGCATGGGACAGGAATATATGTGTATACGTGTGTGCACACTGTATAGATGTATATTCCTTTTCTGCTGCCATCTTTCTTAGAGAAGTTCATGACACCTGATGCTCAAACCTCCTCATTACACTTCAGTTCTAAAATATCTCAGTCATAGAAGTCTGTGGACAAACACAAAAAAAAAAAAAACCCACATTCTAAACAACAGACTCACTTCATATAGGCATGTGCAATTGTGTTCTGCTCCTTAGTAGTTTACCACTTAGGTTGATAAGAGCCTTACCATTTGCGTCAATGGGAGAAAGCTCAGGCTTGCAGTAAATGGGATTCCTCTCCATGTAAATGAAGTTTCTCTGAGTTGTCAGGGTGGCAAGTGAGTATTCTCTCATGCAGCTTCTTATGTTTAAGTGAAATCACTACAGAGAAATTGTTTTGTGTGCCTCTCTGCAATTACAGATTAAATGATGTACGATTTGGTTTATGAAAAGTGAACCATTATAAAAGCTACCTTTTCAATTTTTTCATCTTTTATATACTTATATATCTATTTATGATAGCTATAAAATGTCAAAAGCACAATTTGTAAGGCTTTGCAATGTTTTTCTTCGTTTTACTCTAGTTCTTTGCACCATGTCAGGCAGTGAGACACAAATAAAAAGCCAGCCAAGCATGCATTCCCAGTATTTCCATGAAAATAACAGTATATGATTACTCCTAGTTTTTGTCTAGTCCAAATTCTGCTAAGCTCGAAGGAAACTGTGCTGGGCTGTGAGGTAAAAAACAAAGAACAAAAAACAAAACAAAAAAAAAAAAAAAAACATGTAGTATAGACAAAGCCATACTATCAATTGACTTAACAATACAAATTGTTTTTCTAACCACTTCTCCGTAAGGGTAGCACGACAGATGACAAAAAATCTATTTCAAACTATAAAAGGATATCTTCCTCATCAGTGCCCATATTCACACAAGTTACATTCCATCTCATCCTCTGTACCCAATGTTTGCTACTGTCCAGGCCCTATGGAACAGCCAGAGCCAACCATGAGGCTTCAGATGAAGTTATAAAGGCCAGTGGGTGACGCTTCCTCCATTAAAGCCCACTCCAAAACACCTGGAAATAGCAATAAGCCTTCTCACTTTGATGATCTTTGGGCTGAGCTTTAAAGAAGCCTTATACAGCTGAAACATTGGTAATTGTGGATTTTCAGCAGAATGTTTAGGTATGTCACTGTTTCTCTTTGTGATCACAAAAGCTGCGCGGTTCTTTCTCACTGAGGAAGACAGAGCCCATGGTATGAAGCAAAGTTAGATTCTTCAAGCCCAGGTTGCAATTAATAAATAAATAAATAAATAAATAAATAAATAAATAAATAGGACCACGCAGTTACTGATTTTGAGGCCTGTGTTCCTTTTAGTTAACTGATTCATTTTTATAGAGTTGCACCCATACTTACCATTGGTAACATTTTCAGTAGTCTTTTTTTACTGTGGGTGCATGGAATGCTAATTTGTATAGTAAAGCTAATTCAACATTTTTGTTTGAAATGGCATTGCCAATGCAAATATTTCTGGTTTATTGCACATACTGTTAATGATTTAAGCTGAGACAAATTTTCAGGTCCTCAACTGGCATCACATGATGCAGCTCTGAGGTTTACAAGATTGTATTACAAGTGGCAGTATTCAGTGATAAGGCATACAACATTTGAAAAGCCCCAAACACATTGTTAATGCAAGTGAGTGGCTGGAGAACTTCTCTCCAGATACTCTGTACCAAATATTTGACAGTGTCTAGCTACTCTGCACACAGTAGAGTTACAGATTGAAACCAAAGCTCTCAGTGTTGTTTGCCCTGAGATTTGTCTGTAGAGTCTCACAGTAGCCGTAAGGATATTTCAAGTATTTCCATGCATATCAACTGGAATCCTACATAGTCTTTGTTGAAACATGCAAATGTACACATAGAACTTAACCGTGCCTACATGGAAATGTGTTTTTTTGTGTGCGTGTGTGTTTGTGTATACATGTGTACGTATGACTGTATCCACATTTGTATGCACACAAATGAGTATTTGGGTTTGCGTTAATCCCATTCATGGGGAAGAATAGTTACACTGGTTTCAGCTATGCCTACGTAAATTCAGAGTAACTTCATTACATCGCTTGCCTTTGCAGGAGCTGCTTAAAACTCAAACCACTTTAAGTAACAGCATAATTTCTCTTTTTAATATATAGGAACTGGTTTACACAATTTACTGTATGAACTGTGAAATTTTCAGATGGTTTTATCGTATAAAATGTACTCCTTGACAGTCAAGCATATATGCATTGATAAAATCTCATGAGATTTGCAAAATAATATACTCCAAATAAGTTGGTGACAATGTGTTCCCCTGTGTAGCAATAATTAAATTTCACTTCTATTGTCAGGTCATTGTGTAACATCAGATGAGATAAAACAAGAGAGGTGTTCTAGGGAAGATGAACAGGATAGCGCAGCTTTCATTTCTTAATTTATTTCACGTGCCTCTTTGTACACTCCATTGGTGTCACTTCGTGCATTACAGACAACTTGACTGAAATACCAGAACCTTATGAAAACCAAGATGTGTCACAAGACTTTCTTTTTCGTTTTTCTATATGTCTAATCAAAGAGAATTAACAGTTTTAGAGCACTACTATGTCAGCCAGTTTACACCATAAATAACGTTATGCGAAACATTAATTCATTTGAACTGAATTGTACAAGGTCTACACTGTACTATGACACATTGAAGGCCAATATTTTGTTTTGTAAACTATTACATATGTATAATTTACCAGTTGTAATCTTAAAACATTTGATTCTGTGATTTCAGTTAAAAGAAGTAATAAACTGTATCATAGGTCCAAACACTTGTTTCATATGGTATATTTGTGGGCTGCTGCTTGCCTTTTGTCTCCCACTAAAAAGAGAAGCTAAAAGAGACTAATCTGACCCCTAAATTAAGGCATAAATATTATTTCTATGTGTAAACATTGCACTTTGTGCAATATATGGTGGGGTGAAGTTCTGTGGATGTGTTCCTTTGAGTCATTAAATATATCAGATAAGTGCAGAAAACAGCATTCAAGGCCTTTCCAAAGACTTAGAAAAAATTAGTTTGCTGCCATCCAACAGAGGTAGCATACACTGGTGATCTCTTGAGCCTGTGCAAAGCCCCCATGAAATTCAGAAGACCTGTCCAAAAACTTCATTCAGCAAAATTAGACAGTGGATTAAGATAGCCTGAATTAGATTAATAATTAGCAATATAGACTCTTCTAAGAGTAGTAAAAATCTGCCAGAGCAGATGGCAGAAGTGTATGATGCGTGCAAATATGGTATTGTAGTACATGTATCCAAGGGAAGATTAAGGTAATAACTAAAGGGATATACCTGGTGACACAGAATTGCATACACACTACTATTGAATTATGGCTCTTAAGATGAAGTAGTTAACAGACTAGATGATCTTGAAGGTCTTCTCCAAGCTTAATGATTCCATGATTCTATGATTATACCATGACTTTCTAATAGAACGATGTCTTGCATATCCTTTCTAATTCCATAATACAAAGTTGGAGTTTTTCTTGTTCCCTAACATGATGTGCTCTCTCCAAAAGAGAACACAAATTCAACTCAAAAACTAAGTCTTATCACAAGTGCATATCTGATCTATTGATTGTTGATATATTTATGAATTTTGGACTCTGCCTTTTTATTTTTTTTATTTTGATTTACAAATTCTAAGTGATGTTGATTCTTATTTATAGATACAAATTTTTTCATGCCTAGGAATCGTTTTTCTTCCTGGGCTGTTCTTACAGTGGCAATAAAGTTTTGCATAGTGGCCAGTACCTGTAGAACTAGGTCCAAGGCCTTTGCAAATATGTTTTTAATAATCTGTTACACTACATAGCAATCCTTGAACCACCTTACAAGACAGCTGTCCTGCTAGTGCTTGGTACAAGATATAGAGTATATATGTGTACATATGTGTATATGTATATACACGCACAAAATATTAGATATTTGTATATATTATGCATGTATATTAAAATGTCTCCAAAAAATCTCATTTATACATTTACACTACATGTTTATAAAACTGTGCATTGGTCATCAGAAAGGAAACAGTGTTCAACATCAGTGAAGTGAAAACACTGTACAATCATGCAGTTCTACCATTTTTCCTGCCTAAAAGGCTTTGGGAAATGATTCAACTACTCCACACACTTCTCAGCAATAACAGACTAACATGTTTTCTTCCTTCACTGCATTTCAGCTCATCCAGGGTCCTGGGGCAAAACAAAAAATGCACCCAGTCCTCATCTCCCCCTGCTCTTAGACAGGTAGAGGTAGCAGTCATACAAACTATACCATGACTTTGTCCTCTACTTTTAAGCATTTTTTGTCTATGGCAGAACTCCATATCTCACAAATACTTCAGTTCCTCCTCTGTATTTATTTTCTACAAAGCAAGCTGCAATGTCCCCAAGTGGTAGTGGCAGATCTTCCCAAAATTATGGCTTTATTTCTCATTTTAGAGTTTGCAGTAGCTCAAAGAAAGCCATTAATGAGAATGAAAATCCATTCCTATACAAATCAAATGCAGCACAGACAGCAGCATAGACTTCCTCAAACATCCAAGCTTGTCATAATTCCATTACCGTGCAGAGACTGTTCTGTATCAGGAAGATGAACTCATTCTCTCTTAATGCATTTTCCATCTCTTCATA